TCACTAACAACGACATATTATTTTTTTGCCGACGACACTACACTTTACAAGACACACCCACACGACCCGACAACTGGACAGGATTCGCTCCAACAAGACCTACACAAAATACAGCAATTCGACAAGGACTGGACGATAACATTCAATGGTACCAAAACAATACAGCAAACATTCACACACAAACCTTCCCAAACACCACCAGTACTGCACTTTGACGGACAACAAATCCCCTGCGTGACAAGCCACAGACACTTGGGACTGACTATATCGACAGACCTTCATTTCCACCAGCACGTCAATGACACTATCCTCAACGTCAACAGAGCCCTCAGTCCACTTTATCCACTGGCGAAAATCCTCCCCAGACACATCCTTAACAACATATACCAAATTTATATCCTACCTCTATTCGACTATTGTGACATTGTGTACGACGGACTCCTGACAACTAGCGACTCACTCAGACTTGAAAAAGTACACAACAGGGCAGCCAGACTAATAACAGGAGCACTCTTCAGGACACACACACAGACTCTACTAGAAGACTTAGGGTGGACGACACTGGAAACGCGACGAGACCTCCACAAACTAACGACATTCCATTCATTCACCCACAACAGACATCACTTACCCGCAGCTATCACCTCACTCATACCTGACACAAGAGCACACACAACAGGAAGACCACTGCGAAACGCAACATCTCTAACATTGCCCCCTAACAAAACCAAAGCATACCAGAAATCCTTCATCCCTTCATCCATCAGGATGTGGAACCAACTCCCACCGGAGGTGACCTCAATCCAATCCTCCCGATCCTTCAAGCGTGAAATACACCAGCGCTGTGGCGCAGCTTCGCCGCAGTTTTACTACGATCTTGGTTCCAGATCAGCGAACGTGTTTCATGCAAGGTTAACCCGCGCCCTGCTGGGGGTGCTGGATTTCCACGCCCTGCTGGGGGGGGGGGTGTTTGAACACCCCCCCCCCCTTGTAACTCGGCTCCTGGGCCACGTAGCGATACGCGGAAGGCGGCGTTCGAAAGAGCGTAAAAAATAATGACGAAATCACTTCGGTCAATTTTTTGGTCAGGTCAAAGGTGAGGTCACCAGAGGTCATTGAATGCAAAATTTCGCCGATTTCCAGGTCGAATGTCGAAAATTTCCAAGAAGCCAACGCATAACTCGGGAACCAATAGAGCTACAGCGCCCCGGAAAAGCGCATTCGATAGCCCTATTAACGCCCTTTCTGAGTAATTCTCTCAGATTTGACCTAACGTCAACGGTTTTGCCTGCAGGGGGCAAAAACTGCAAAAATAGCCGATTTTTTTAAAACAGTTTTTCTGCAATAACTTTTGACCCAAGCCTTGTACGAGCTTACTTTTACCGGCATCGTGTTCCTCTCGTCAAGACGCATCGAATGAACTATAACTTGACCTTGAAAGGTCAACTTGAAAATTTGACCTCAGGTCAAGGTCATGACCTGACCGGAAAGGGTCATGTTGCATATCAGTCGATCCGTATCGTCGAGCTGAACACATCTAAGGCGTTTTCATCGCTCTAGCGTGCCTCTATCAAAAGTTATTTGCGAAAAACTGTTAGATACCATTCGTGACCTAAGATGACCTCAGGGCATAAACAAGGGTCACGGACACCATTTTTAAGTTCAGTGTGTCTAAACCACTTGTAATTCGGTGTTTGGGAGTGTTTATAATGTCTTTCTTCCAAAAGAGGCGCATTTCAATTTTCTCCCATTGTGTATTGTTCATTTTGACAAATGTTTACTTTAATGAAAAACAATATCAAATTCTTATCTGTATTCAATGTAAACGCGTTTCGATTATTTCTTTATCAATACATTGATACAATACAGATAATGAAAACACACGATTCAATGTGGGTGAACGCGAGCGATGAGATTGATATTTCAAACATTATGACCTATTCACGTGGCAAAACTTTCTGTTCCCTCCATAAAATTCTACCCAAAATTGGTGCCAATGAGTAATCTCCTCTTTTTGAGTTGATGTTTGGCAAACATTCAATCACCGCAGCTTCGATCAGTTTTCGTCGATTTTTCCCTTTTCCGCTCCATAGAATTCTTGCGTCTTTCCACTTCGGTAAATGGTTTTGTTCCTCTATATGAATAACGAAAGAGCTTGTATCTTTGTGGTTTCGAACGTCTCTTTTATGTTCGTCTATTCTCTTCTTCATTCCTCGATATGTTTCGCCTATATAAGATTTGGAACACCCCCCGCACGGAACTCTGTAGACGACGCTGTCCAAACTTTCGTCCGCCGTTCTCTTCTTGATTATATCTTTAGTCTTAAGACCGGTCCTTTCCAGAAGTATGACGCCTGCCTGTCTTAAGGCCTTAGATATGATGTCTGTATTTTTGCTGCCTGGTACTACTATCGTTCTATGGTGTTCTATGTGAAGATTATATACACTACCTCTCGGCACACGGTGAAAGGGTGAAATCCGGGGTGGTGATTGGCTTTTTCTTACGCGCGTATCGGATTTGCAGTCCCGATTACATCGATGACGAGATCGATCACATATTCGATTCATTTAAAAAACTTCAATATCCAAAGGCGTTCTTAATCAAATGCCTACGAAGAGCAAAACTAATACGAAGAAGGTCATCTGGGTCACTGAACAATAGAAAAAGAGAACACCATAGAACGATAGTAGTACCAGGCAGCAAAAATACAGACATCATATCTAAGGCCTTAAGACAGGCAGGCGTCATACTTCTGGAAAGGACCGGTCTTAAGACTAAAGATATAATCAAGAAGAGAACGGCGGACGAAAGTTTGGACAGCGTCGTCTACAGAGTTCCGTGCGGGGGGTGTTCCAAATCTTATATAGGCGAAACATATCGAGGAATGAAGAAGAGAATAGACGAACATAAAAGAGACGTTCGAAACCACAAAGATACAAGCTCTTTCGTTATTCATATAGAGGAACAAAACCATTTACCGAAGTGGAAAGACGCAAGAATTCTATGGAGCGGAAAAGGGAAAAATCGACGAAAACTGATCGAAGCTGCGGTGATTGAATGTTTGCCAAACATCAACTCAAAAAGAGGAGATTACTCATTGGCACCAATTTTGGGTAGAATTTTATGGAGGGAACAGAAAGTTTTGCCACGTGAATAGGTCATAATGTTTGAAATATCAATCTCATCGCTCGCGTTCACCCACATTGAATCGTGTGTTTTCATTATCTGTATTGTATCAATGTATTGATAAAGAAATAATCGAAACGCGTTTACATTGAATACAGATAAGAATTTGATATTGTTTTTCATTAAAGTAAACATTTCTCCCATTGACTTATAATGGGGAGGTCGCAAAATTGACCTGACCTTAGGTCATCGATATCAAAATTCTGAGATGTAAATTTTGTACATGCTATTGCTCTTAGCAATCGCTGAAAGTTTCAAAGCGATCGGTCACTCGGTGTAGCTATGACAGACATTGAAAGTTTTTATGAGGTGAGGTCACTTCAAGTGACCTGGTGACCTGACCTTGAATGACCTTGGTCTGAAATTTTCACAACATGTGTAAAATTGATGTATGATAAGGTGTACCAAAAACGGCGGCGCTCCGCGCCGCCGTTTTTGAGATATTCGCGAAAAAACGACAAGGGGGGGGGGTGTTCAAACACACCCCCCCCCAGCAGGGCGCGGGTTAAGAATGGGCTTATCCCAACTGAACGCACACTTATTCAAAATCCACAGCCGTAATACTGATAGTCCTGTTTGTCTCTGTGGTCATCTAACTGAAGATATAAAACATTTTGTCCTTCACTGTCCTCTCTATCGTGACATAAGGACCCAAATGATTCATGAAACTTTACTCATCATTCCAGATTTTTCTAACCTAAGTCAAGAGGTTATTATGTATAACCAGCTCACGTCATTTCTTGTCAGGCATAATATTGTTTATGATTATCAATTTGGCTTCAGATCCAACCATTCTACATACATGCCTATTTCAATTTTGCACCAGTTTATCACTGACAATCTCATTTCCAACAATAAGACTGTTGGTGTGTACCTTGACCTTGCTCGTGCCTTTGACACGGTTAACTTCGATATATTACTGAGAAAGCTAAAAGATATGCCATATCTGACAATGCCGTTAGTATGATTTCTTCCTATCTGTCTGATAGAAGCCATCGAGTCAAGTTTAACCATGCCCTCTCTAGTGCAAGACAGCTATTGTGCGGAGTCCCGCAAGGTTCTGTTTTAGGACCTGTCCTATTTCTACTTTATATTAATGATCTTTATCAAATTTGCCCCATCGCCAAATTTTTGCTCTTTGCAGATGATACGGCGGTCTTTTATTCCGCGCCGTCCAAACCTGAATTGCAAGATATGATAAACCAATCGTTTCCTAGGATTACTTCATGGCTGCATGCTAACAGGCTCTCTCTATCGATTCAGAAGACTGCATATCAGGTTTACTCTAATGACGATGCAGACATTAACATATGTATCCCTGTTTCAAAAGGTGAAATAACGCATGCCAGCACAGTAAAATACTTGGGAGTACTCATAGACGAAAATCTCAAATTTAAATCCCACATTAGCAAAGTGACAGGTATAGTTAGTCGTCAGACTGGTATCATTGGCAGAGCCAGATACCTGCTTAATAAAGAATTATCAACACTGCTTTACAACTCACTTATCCAACCTTATCTTACCTACTGCGCATGTATTTGGGGCTCTAATTATCGTACGTCTCTTCAACCAATCATCGTTGCGCAGAAACGTGCTATCCGCATTGTAGCTGGGGTTTCCCCCGGAACACATAGCTCCCCTCTCTTCAAAGAGCTCAAGCTGCTTAAGTTTGATGATCTAGTTAAATACCAACTCCTCTGCATCCTTCATGACTACCTTCGTGGGAAGCTTCCAAATATCATGGCCACTAAATTCATTTTAAGTAACCCATTGCGTGAAACACGTAGTAATCAATATTTCTCTGGGCAAGTGCTATCGCTGTCAGGTCGTGTTATACCCAACCACAGATTGCGTAATTACTATCAGTTTACTCTATTTGCCAGAGCTCCGGGAATCTGGAATAATATCATTGCTAGTAAAATACCCGACATTCATGATGTTCCATTGAGTAAGTCACTTTTCAAGAAAGTTACGAAGTTAATTTTCTTTGACCAATATTAACAACTAATTAAGTTACTTTTAAGTCATCCACCAGGCTCGTTCACACAATTTACGTTATTCATCTTAACTTTGCGTTTGTGGGCAGGGCCTCAGGAATCGTTGCAGCCCTATACCCTGTCCACAGCGCCTGATTTCATTGAACTTGGTTTACTTCACTTCTTTCTGTCAGAGTGGTCACTCGGTCTCACTTTCTATTGTAACATCCTATCTCGCCTTCTGCCTCGGCCGATGTCATGACTTGCGTTAAAGGGAGATAATGAGCTTTCTTTTTTCTTTAATAAAAATTACTCGACATCTATACTATTTCTACTGTAGTTTCTATAAAATATGAAAATTTCCTAGCACATTTTCGTATGTGAAAAAGGTTTTTTATTTTTGCAAAAAAGAAGCAGTACTTGCAGTACTTGTAACACCCACCGAAATGCGTTATCCTTCTTGTCCTTCTCTATAAAAAAAGTCGCAGTATATGGCGCTTTTGTTTCAAACAGCGACGCTTGGGTTTTTGTTTATGTTATCGCCTTGTCGTTGCTTGGTTGTAAGGATTCTAATTTGAATTAGAGTTAATTCGGTTTAGAATTAATTAGATTCGTACATAGTGCCTACTCTTCTTTGTTTCCAAGTATTATTTTGCGCCACAAATGAACGGCATGCGCCAGAAACGCAGCCAAATCTTGCGATTGCGACTACGAAATTCATTATTTTGGCCTCAGAGCCTGAAGCGAAAAATACAAGCATATTTATTTCAAAAAGACTTCAGGTTTGTCGAACGGTGTTATGAGAATTTTGATAACAGTACTGCATAAGTTTTTCAGTGATGCCGCAAAAGTGTTGTATCTATCTTCTTTTATTGTGCAGTCGGCGGGACCGATTCAAAATTGAGTCGTTGCTACTAAAATAGCAGCACATGGCCTCAGATGATGAACAGGAAAAATAGTTGCGTAAATTTAGACATAAACCACCCCCAAACCATGAATATCTTTTGAAGGCACTATAGACGACCATTAACTAACTAGATGTGATGAAGATCAAATGTAAGGAATACGCTCATTTTACAAAATTACATGCAAGTACCAAAAAGTGATGTAAGTACTTATTCAACGGTCATTTTCAGCGCTCCCCGCTAACGTGACTTCAAGTTGAGATATTTGCGGCAAGGTACCGCATTGAGCAAAATGGTTTTAATTTACATTATAACTTGTTGTGTTTTGTCAGAAAATGATCCTAACTCAGATTTTGTGGAAAAAGGTCATTATCTCCCTTTAATCACACACATCCCCGTTCTCCAGACTCCACCAGCCCGCGGCGTTGACAGCTAGTTGCGCCGCCCATCATCGGCACTCCAACCGGCGACCTGATGTGGCCGGGTCTCCGCCGCTGCGGCGCTGGCGCCCCGGTGACTGTTCCGCTGCGGCGCTGGCGATCCGAGAGTCCCGCTGCGGCGCCGGCAGTCCGGGAGTGCACCACTGCAGCACTGACAGCCCGTGGTGCTGAGCCACTGCATCGCCTGCAGCGCGGGCGTTGTACCACTGCAGGTACTGCAGCACCGGCGGCGGCGCCGTCAACGCGAGGGTTGCACCACTGCATAACCAGCAGCCCGTCAACTGTATCACTGCAGTACCGTCAGCCGTGGGGCTGAACCGCCGCAACACCGACTGCCTGAAGGATCCATCGCCGCTGCGCTGGCGGCCCGAAGGCTGTACCGTCGTGTCACCGTCAGCTCGAGGGCTGTGCCGCTGGGTCTCTGATCTCCTGTATCCTTGCCAGCCGGTGGCGCCATCTATCTATTCACTATGTTTTTGTTCGTTGACTCAAACTACATACCTTATTTGCCTATTTTTTCTGTATTGATTAATAAACCGCCGGTGGAAACCGGAAGAGAGAGAAGAGCAGAAAATCACTGTCTATCTCAAAGGAATTAACTTAAATGAGCGAGAACAACAGCAAATTGCAAACATTTTCCAACGATTCATCCGTAACACCAAACGCTTTTCATTTTAGATTCCTTGGCGGGCGCCGGCAGCTGACGGCGGCTGATGGCGGACCTGGGCGTATGCCGCTGCGTGGACGGCGGCCGCACCTCTTTCGACTTTGCCTCTGCTTACCGGGCGGGGTGCGGCCGGCGGCTGCGCGGCGGTGGGCGCCCGGTTTGCCTATACGGACGGGCTGTGTGGGTGGCGGGAGGGGTGCTGGTCGGTGTCCGGAGGCGGTCGTTTTATCTTTGATTTATTTTCGGTATTCTGTTGGAGAGGTACCTTGAGTTAAGCAGTTTTGCTTTTGTGCCAATCCATCTGTATCATCATCTCACAATGCATGTCCATGATCGAAAATAAATAAACAAACAAACAAACAAACGAGCGGCTGGGGACGCGACTCCCGGACTGGCTCGGGACGGCGGCAACGGGGGCTCACTAAGCCGAAAGGGGGAAGTGTGTGGGGCCGTGGCCGGCTCCCCGGCGTGACCGGTGACGTCACCTGGCTGACCGGTGACGTCACCGGTCGGCTGACCCGGCCGAGGTCGGGGCGGCGGCCGGCGGCCGGGAGGAGGGGCGGCAGTGGGCGCCGGACGCGGAGCCGAGTCGGTGACGCGCGCGCACGGGTTATACCCCCCGGAGACTTTTACCGGGGTTACATGAGCAAGTAAATGCGTATCAGGAACGGATTTTCCTATTCGCTCACCATTGTAGTCCGTTTGTAATGCGCATTAACTCTGCTCATGTAACCCCGAGCTTTGTGATGGTTCGGGTGCCTGCTGGATAATACAAGAGTACCTGAGGAACTCCGGAGTCTCGCCTAACAGACGCGCCGTCCTGCTGAAACCAGTACTGGAGACGCGTGGCTTGGTGACGCACAGCCGGCCAGACGACGGATTTCAGCATCTCCAAGTAGGCGGCAGCGGCACCGTCCACGGCTCCGTTAAACCAATGCACTTGACAGGCACGTATCCAGGATTTCGCTCAGGGGGGGGGGGGGGGCGACAGCCGAGAAGGGCCCGGAGGTCAGCCAAAAGGGGCCCCACAGCGACTGCCTATCCTGGCATGTAAACTAAAAATTCGAGAATGTCGAAAAAACAGCAAATTTACGATAGAATTTGGCATTGTAAATGAAAATGCATTGTCTTGCGTTTCTCGACCTTGATAACATGTTTGCAGTTAGCTTCCGTTGAAGTTCGTTTTTGCAGTTCACTTCCGTTGAAGTTCGTTAACCCGCGCCCGGCCGGGGGGGGGGGGGGGCTGTTTGAACACCTCCTCCGTGCGGTTTTGCGTGGATATAAAAAAGAGGGATGAATCTTATCTACAGATATGAAAATTTTACACCCAGGTCGCTCAAGGTCAGGTCACCAGACCACGTCAAGTGACCTCACCTCAGAAAAGGTTAGAATGCTCGCCATAGCAACACCGACTGAACGATCGGCTTGAAACTTTTAGTGATTGATAAGAGGGGCATTCCACGATAGATCGTACCAGGCCCGTCACCCTCATCTCTCAGATTTTAATGAAAATCGGTCCTAGGGGTAATCATAGGCCCCAAAGACGCCTGGCAAAATATCAGACTTCTCAGATCAAAACTTTTTGAGTTATATTGAATTACATTTTTTGAACTTCGGTATGTAACGGTGAGTTTGATGGCCTATAACTCAAAAACGGGTTAAGCAACCAACAAAAAGTAAACAACACTAAGCTTGCGATGAATCAAAAATTAATATTACCATTTAAAAATTCCAAAGAAAAAATTTCATTGTTGAGCAAAAACCTTAATCTTTTTTCATTTGCCTCTAATGACTTTTGGGACCAAAATTTTTCACATTTTTATTTTTTCAAAATAATCTTCATGTCATTGCAAATCGACATGCAGAAAATTAGAAAGGTGTTCTTTCTATAAGTTCCTCATTTTCCCGCAAACAAAATGGGTTTCGGAGGGGTTGATACGACCCCAGCACGCCGTTTCGCTTCTAATAGAGCTAGAGCCTCGCGGAAAAAAGGAGCGTGTGTGCCGTTACAAGTCGCAGCGATTGGTACCCGATTTCAAGGTCTCAGGTTAACCGGTAGCGTCTGAGGTCAGGTCACGTGACTGAAGTTACGGGTTCGGTTTTTAGTAAATAACTTCGCAAAAAATGGCCGCAGAGCCGCGATTTTGGCATCATTGTGTTCGCCTAGCTCAGGTGCATCGAATGGTATACTTTTTGCTAGAGTGAGGTCAACTTAAGTAGTTGACCTCGGGTCAAGGTCAGGTCAGAGCCCCTCAGGTCACGAAGCTGGGCAAAGGGTATCATATGGCATATCATGCGATTCGGAAGGTCTTCCCGAGTCCATTGGTGGCTTTCCCGACTCTCTAGCTCCATTTGATCGGGAGTTATTGACGAAAAACTCGTACGACCCTAGTGACGTCATAAATGACGTCACGCAAGGTTAACAATGCAAAAGTAAAGCATTGGACTTTGCAAGGAGTGTATGAAATCACGATACCATGTACGTAGGATAGTTTTAGATCATTCTCGGCGCCAAAATAACAGTTTTTATATTTCCCCATTGATTTATAACAGTGATGTCACGCGACCGACCTGACCTCATGTAACCTTGAAAAATTCCCAGATATACAAGTTGTGAGACCTCTGGAGGACACCATGTATGCGTCCTGTAACTTTCATCTCGGACAGCTATGGTCATTGGCGTCCAAAACAATGTCAGAACCAAACAGCCTTTTTCACCCTCGCGCTTATAGGAAAGAGGGTTGAATGAACCCTCTTTTCACTTTTTTTCAGATGACTCAGACTTGAATTGAAATTTCAGTAACCCGTGATGTCACTAAGCAGCTTTACCACGCCATTTGTAAGCTCCCCTCCCGAAATCACTATTCGAAACCGTTATCGTGACGTAAAATAAATACATTTATAGAAAGAACACCTTCCTAATTTTTTGCATACTTCTTAACAATGAGCCAAATATTTTTTTAAAGAAATAAAATTTCAAAAAAAATTGGTCCCAAAGTCCAAAAAATACAAATGAAAGAAAACTCGATATGTCATATATCAAAAATAGCGTATTTTTCGAAATTTCAAAAATACATATTAATCTCTGTTTCATTGCAAGTTCAATGTTATATAATATTTGGCATTTGAATAATCCGTCTTAGAGTTACAGCCCGCCAAACTTAGCGCTGCAAAGCAAGATCCAAAAAATGTTATACACCATAACTCAAAAAATACTTATCTGATAAGCCTGAAATTGTTACAGGTGGATTCAGAGCCCCTGATTACCCCTGAGACCAATTCTCGTCAAATTCCGAGAGATGAGGGTGTCAAATTGGAAAAAAGTGGTACGATCTATCGTGGAATGCCCCAAGAGTAACAGTATGTATAAAATGATTATCTCGAAATTTGCATACCGGTGGTGACATAAGGTCAAGTCAATTTTTGCGCCCTCTCCATTAGGTTTTATAAATGTGAGAAAATCGAAAGGTGCCTCTTTAAGGCAAACGTCATCCTAGGCACCCTCAATCACCTGGTTACATCAAAAATGACAACCTAAATCGGAAATTTGTACCCGTGACCCCTCCTTATGTCTATGGGGTCATCTCAGGTCACGAAACGTCTCCACAGCTTTTGACAATAGCATTTGTTAGAGACACGCTAGAGCGTTGAAAACACCTTAGATGTGTTCAGGCCTTATCGACGATACGGTTTGACGAATGTGCAACATGACCTTTCAGGTCAGGTCACCTTGAATTTAGTTCAAATTTTCTAAATGACCTGATAAGGTCAAATTATATGTAGTTCATTCGACGCGTCTCGACGAGAGTAACACGATGCTGACAAAAGAAATGTCGTGCCTTTTCCTGAGTCGAAAATTGTTAAAGAAAAAGTGTTTCATAAAAACGACTATTTTAAAAGTTTTTTTTTTCTCTCAAGAGGCTAAACCGTTAACCCGAGCACCGACGGGGGGGGGGGCTGTTATCCGCCCCCCCTTAAGGTTATCGTGAATAGCGGGAAAACCGCGACGCGTAGCGCCACGAAATTTGGCATGACTATTTTCTCATTAATTTTACACATGGTGTGCAAGTTTGAACCTCCTAACTTTTAAGGTCAGATCACCAGGTTACTTCGAATGACCCAACCTCAAATCACTTTTTTGCAACTTTGTCACGTCGTGTCAGAGCTACAGTAGATAACGGAGTATGATTCGATGCGGATTGACGAGAGGATCACGATGGTGCCCTTAGTTTGTTCCTAGCTTGGCTAATTCGAAAGTTATTCGAGAAAAACTCTTCATATCTAGCGCCGCCATTTTGACTTTTTTTTACCCCTGTGACGTCATCTTTGACCTGATCTGGAAATGACCTAATTAAAAATTGTAGACCTTGTCCGTGCGTACCCCATGCCGTTTAACGCTTGTCGCTATCTTGCTTCGTTCTTGAGATCTCAGGGGGCGGGCGGTCATCCGCCCCCCCCTCCGTCGGTTCTAAGTTGGCGCGGACCCCCGTCGGTGCGCGGGTTAATCGCAGGTCAATTCTGAGAACAGTTTACGGAAAGAACGTTAAAAGAACTATTGAATGCGTTTTTTTTTTGTGGCGCTGCAGCTCTGTTTGTACCCGGGTTATGCGCCGGAGTTGTCAAACAATGTTGAAATAGGCAAAATGTGACCTTTGCTGACTTATGGTGACCTGACCTTTGACCTGACCTAGAAAATGACCGAGTTACTTTCGGCATGATTTTTTACGCTCTTCCGAATGCCACGTACGCTTACGTGTCGCTACGTGGCCCAGGAGCCGAGTTAGAGAGAGAGGGTGTTCAAACGCCTCCCCCACCGCCTGTCCCAAACGCCATCCGTGGCGCAACTATGGAGCTCATTTTGTTCGGAGAACTGTAAACAGGAGCAGCCCCATGAGGTCAGTCGAAAGGGTCTCATCATCGGCTGTTGCCTGTTCCTCGGGCCCCATGGCCTGGGCAGGGCCTTCTCAGCGGGCCCTTCCGTTTCTGGGGCCCGGCCAGGACAAGCTGTTTCTGAGACTGGGCACGGAAGTGTATATCTGGGCTCGCTTTCTTGATACGTTGTCGAGGCCGAGGGACCAATACTTAAGCTCAAAAGCCTGCTTCAAGGCTTTCTGAGCGGGCCCTTCCGCTTTTGTAGACCTCCCGGGCCCCCGGTTGTCATTGGCTTGGCCCGGTCCGCTTGTGGGGCCCGGCTAGGGGCCCATATGAGCACCGGCAAGACCCTATGGGCCCTTTTTGGACCCGAAAGCCTGGGCAAGCTCTTCTCAGCGGGCCCTTCCACATCTAGGGCACAGACAGGCCCTGTGACTGGGCACGGAAGAGGATTTTTTCGGATCCGCTAACCATAACTTCTCCGGGGCCAATTAGCTCAAAAGCGGTACCTTTGGGCCCGATAAGGGACCCGTTTGGAGTCCGGCAGGGCCATAGGGGCCCTTCCTCAAGCTCGAAGGCTCGAGCATATCCTTCTGAACGGGTCTTTCCGCTTTTGGGGCCCTGCCGGGCTCCAAATTGCCCTCGCTCTGCCCAAAAGTGGGCCGAAGGGCCCAGTTACGGACCTGTTTGTGGCCCGGCAGGGCCCCAGGGGCCCATCCGCGAACCAAAAAATTCGAACAAATCCTTCTGAACATGCCCTTCCGCTTTTTGGCCCAGCCGACCCCAAATTGTTCCTGGCTAGGGCCCAAAGCGGGCCCTTCGGGCCCGCTTTCTTGCTGCCTAGCGGGCCCTCCCGGGCCCGCTTTTGGGGCCCGGCAGGGCCCAGGGGGGGGGGCGTCCGCCCCCGTCGCCCCCCCCCTTGGATACGTCCCTGGCACTTGAAGGCACTTCCCATCGACGATGCCCAACCAGGCCATGACCCCGTGTGCCTTCTTGCACTCGACGATCCTGTGTGGGTTCTCAGGAGCCCATACCACCGTGTTCTTTCTGTTAATGCCTGCTGGAGAACGAGCCATTTCTCGTCACTGCACAAGACTCGCTCGAACCAACTCTCGTCGTGTGTGAGCCAGAACTCACATGCCGCCAGTCTCAGACTGTTTATTGGCTGATGACAGAACCTGGCGCAGGTGAGGACGGTATGGTTTCCACTTGAGGACCCTTCTTAACATCTTCCACACTTTTCCCAAAGACATCCCCAGTGCATTGGCGGCTGATCTGACGTGAGCCTTTGGATGATCTGTGAAGTACTTTTGAACCAAGGCCATCTATAGAAGGTACAGTCACGCTCACGCCCCCGCCGACCAATCAGAGACAGATCCTGAGTGACGTCACCCCTGATGCTCGCCAGGGGTACTCCATTCCTTTACAACGTAAAAATGACTAACTTCATTTGAAGATTGTTGGTGACACTCTACACGTATCGCTCAGCCGTTGATGTCATTGGAAAGTCCAACCAATTTTCTAGCGATAAAAAAGAGCAGCAATATGCTAAGAAATGGCCGGTTTTAAAGATATAGACGATTTAAAAATCCTCTGCAGTTGCAGGAAAGCAACGTAAAAACGCATCGAGCTTATATTTTTACTATGAATAAATCATTTTTCATTAAGTTTTTAGATATGGAATCGATTTATTCAACAACTTTATTACAATATTTTTATTACTAGGAACTTTATTTCAAAATAATATTTTCAAAAATGGCAACTGTTGGCAAGTAGCTTTGAAGCGATTGTGGCGCACCACGCCATTTTTGTCCTGAGGCCCCCTTATGATGTCATCAAAAGTGGAGTGACAACTGACATGGGCCTGTTTTGAACTCTCTTCACTTCATCGGGGGGAGCCGGAGGTCGGCCCGGGGTCAATGGTCGCACAGAGGCGGTCAGTTTGAAGCGCTGAACCAGCCTGCTGAATGCAAGTAAGTTTGGAACTTTTCTGTTGCTATCTCGATAAAAGTGGAGCCGAAATGCCCTACGTACTTGTGTAAATGACTTCACTTCGCCATACTTCAGAACGATCCAAATGGACTGTTCTTGAGTGAATGGGCTGTTGCATTTGAAGCTCCGGGAAAGGCTAGATGGAAAAGAGGCCATATATGTCAACTACAATAAAAAATATTGGGCAATATTGACAAAACACAAAATGTACCGGTATCCTGCACATAAATATGCACGTGCAAGTAAAATATTTGGTTTTATATTTCCACGTGACGCATTTATTTCTATATCACTCCAAAATGATCACCCGGTATCATTATATGATTCTATGATTGTATAATTCAACACAATAGTATAATTGTGCTGAATTCTTATTTTTAAAATTACGGCACATTTATCAACATCTTTCCTGATGTAAAGCTCTGAGATATTTTGTCACGCCTGTTATAGTATTTTATCATGTTCCCACGCGCTTGATTGTTGTTTTCTATCCTATGTCGACGTCGTTTCTTGTCGTGTTTTTACGTGTCATATGCATCTGAAGACGAGCCGTGCTCGAAATATTATACCACTCTTCTCTAAAAGATATATTTCAAATAGCTTACTCATGAGCAACAGACTACTACGTGTACGGAACTAATGTACGGAATTTACGTGTCATCTGCTGCCACCCAGTGGCGCGGGAGCCGGGGGGGCCCAGCCAGCAATCCCACTCCGTTCCCGATCGGGATTTTCGGACTCAGCCCGCACCACCCCGATCGGGACCGGAGTGGGACGGGATTGGGAAATGAGACACTTTGTACGGGCTGGAACGGTCCGGATATCCCAACCTACCCCGCACGGCCGGTTGGGAGATCCCGCACGTATCCGGACCGCCTTATGACGTTTTAACAAGCGCTGAACTCCGATCCCGATCGGGATTCCCCAAATCTCCCCGTACAACCGGTTCGGAAATCCCGCACGCATCCGGACCGCCTTATGGCATTTAAACAAGCGATGAACTCCGATCCCGATCGGGATGTCCCAACTCGGCCCGCACGGCCGGTTTGGGAATACCGCAGGCATCTGACATATTAACCGCAGTCTTATAACCGCAGATTGCTGTTATGCAGATGCGACCACTTTGCTTGCGCCACTGCAACCCCCGCGCCTCTTCATTATTCTCCAACTCAACCTTTATAATGCCTGCACGACAAAATGAATTACATTGGACACTGAAATATATTCACAAAAATTTACTGGTTGGACACAGGTCAAATTTTCACAAATTCACAGCCTGGCCAGCACATTCGTGGCGTCGGCCATCATCTTAGCGCCGCTGCAAGGCGCTGGCACAGCGGACTCACTTCCGGTGTTCACAGTCATTATAGCAGGCCTGCGCCTTGTTCGTGTCGGCTCCTCTGCGGACAGTGTGTCTGTCTGCCGTCACGAGCTTCAGAGAGCCACCGCGAAACTAGACGGCTGGCATCTGGTCGGGCGGTTCACCACTGTGCGGAGAGAGCATCTGAAAATGACCAAGAGGTTATTAATCAAAGTCTGGGACACACTAAAAATCACTAAGAAATAACCCACATCTGACATTTCACATGGTATGCCTGGTAATTCAGGTTTAAAACTACAATGCAACCATTAACGACACTTGACAATGAGACCAAACATCTTCTGTCCATGATAACTGATCAAACATGCGACAGCACGAGTGTAATTCACATGCCGTACAACCACAACGAACATAACAATTTCTATTACCTATAGCTTCCCCGCTCCCTACATCACGGATGAAGTGTGCACTATACTCACCCTGTTCTCAAAGACGGACTGATTTCCCTGCAACAACAGTTGAACCGACCGCTTGCTAGAGCCAGTTCAAAAGCAATATCCTGAGGCAGCAGCTCAAAGGAGGGATCGACACTTGACCAACCCGGCAGCTAGACTGGCCGCTGCGCTCAGAGGACGCGTCTGCCTGCACGCGGCCCATCTGATTGCTTTTCCAGGCTTTCTGGGCCACCGGATATGGTGCCCGAAACGCCTTCTCAGATCGGTTGGGATAACAACGTAAATCACAAGCCTGTCTAAACATGGGATTCGATTGGGCTATCCGTACCGCGTCCCAACCGATTAAGCATGCGGTCCGGAAATCCCGAGTCGCCCCTACCGCCGGCCATCGAGGTCCGGTATCGATTGGGACAACCCAAGCCTACCCAACCCGGTAGGGACAAGTCGGGACATCCGGAGCCTATCCCGACCGTCCCCAACCGCATCCCGGACGAATTGCTGGCTGGAGGCTAGGGGGGCCCCCTCCAACTTTTAGGCTGGGGGGCTCGTAATGTATTTGAGCCCCCCCCCAGCTGGAGGAATCGAAATCGGAAATCTACCAACACAATTTCATAGATTCATACATAGGCGCGGGAACCGGGGGGAGAGGGCAGTGGGGGAAGCTTGCCATCACAACTCTGGGGCCGTGGGGGCGGTGCCTCACAACTTTTCATGAGGTCAGGAACCGTTGGGGCAGCTTGTCCTCCCCAAATTAGGGGTTGTGAGTCACAAAGAAAGAAAGCATGTAAGTGAAAAATCTACCTATTTTACTGACTCGGCAACTCATTTGGCAGCTTAAAACCTTTATTCCAGGTTGCCAAAACGGTAGTTTCTTCACTCAGCTGAGACGGAATACCTCACTTTTTTGCAAATATTTTCTTCTTTTTTTTTTCGTTGAAAAGGCCAAGGTCTGAAAAATAAGTGGCCTAAAACCGATGAGAAAACTAGATTTGGGGGTACCCTAGGTTGATCTCTATGATGGTTCAGCCCCCCCAGTCTGGAAGAAGTTCCCGCGCCACTGCTGCCACCCGAGCCGCGCCGCGTATTTGGAAATTCCGACCTCGACGAGCGTCTGTGGTAGAAAACCACCACTTTGGTAGGGGAAACTACTGCTGTCTGCTACCATTTGCACTGCATGTCTCGCTATATCTGCGACATCTATGCAAGTCAGCAAGAGTACGTACCTAAGCGATACGTACTTTAAAATTTACGTACTTTTCGATGCGTATTTTCGTCCTTGACGTACTTTTGTCTATACGTACTTTGTAGTGTAGGTACCTACTTCTGCGATACGTACTTTTGTCCTTGACGACTTTTGTCTATACGTACTTTATGCTCCGCGACGTACTTCTGCGATACGTACTTTTGCCCTTGACGTACTCTTGTCCATACGTACTTTATACTGAACGCACTTTTACGATACGTGCTTTTGTCCTTGACGTAATTTTGTCCATGCGTACTTAATAATGTAGGTACGTACTTTTGCGATACGTACTTTTGTCCTTGACACTTTTATCCATTCGTGCTTTACGTACTTTTGCGATGCGTACTTTTGTCCTTGCCGTACTTTTGTCCATGCGTACTTTACACTGTACGAACATTTGCGATACGTAGGTACTTTTGTCCTACGTCCTACCACAGATTTTCGACAGGGGGACGGATCGGCCGACTAAAAACCCAAAATTAGGTCGTTACCGTACTTTTTAGGCCGATGCATTATCTGTTCAACGATACTGGGGTGAATTCCTACACGGTACACGTCTGAAGTATTCATTTTGACATGGTTAACCAGAGCCTCCGGTCTTCTATCAGGGTATAATTGTTGACACATGCCGTCAATCTGATACATCATCATACGTGGTCTGGTGGTTGCTTTAGGTATTTGTCACAACTCATAATCTCTTTTGGTCTCCAGTACGAATGGGCGGCACAGAGTGGCGCGAGATTCTCGTCGAGGTCGGAATTTCCAAACACGCAGCCGCGCCGAACGCGAGCAGACGGGAACGCACAGTAGCGCCACGAGAGCAACCCGTCGTAGCCGAACTTATCACTAGATGGTAGCACCGTGCGGCGAGCCGAGGCGAGACAGGTAGAAGCCGGCGGTGGGGCCGGTTGAGCGAGTCTGGATTTTGGTGGAGATGGTGGCGGTCCCGCCGAGTCGCGTTTTGTTTTTAGCCCGCTGTCCGTTTTGTTTGTCTGTGATGTAAAATGCAGTGGCAAGCTACAGCAGACTTTTGTGCGTGACGGACGAGTCGGACACCGAGATGGCGAACATACTTAATCTATTTAACTTCACCAGGAAGAGATTAATCGAACAGAACAGAACTGAGGCCCGGTCCGTATTGCGCCCGGTCGACCCTGACTTTCCCCGGTCGACCCGGGCATCCCCGGACTTCAAAGTTTCGCCTTCCACCGCGAAGGTATTGCCGGCGTACGCCACTGCACCGGCCAGCCGCCGGCGGTCGACCGGGCGCGGTGAGGCTCTAATGCCATCTCCAAAATGGGCCTAAAATAGTGCTTTTTTCGCCTAAAAGTTTATCGGTTTTTCGATATGTATAACAACTGTAGTGGGATGACCTGCAAACAGGCGTCGGCAACAATCACGAATGCGGCGCACATGTGACAATTAGCAAAGGTCATTATAGAGTTACGACGTACGGGAATGAGTTATCAGCTGTCTAATCGTAGACAACACAATGTCTGACTTAAACTGTAAGCCTGTATTGGTATTGTTTCTTTAATTTGGCTGTCGTACATTAATTTATGGTTTGAAATATGATTTTATGTAAAATAATTGATATAAAACAGCCGTCTCTTAAATTATGACCCCATTTCACCACACGAAAGTGGCAGAAATGACAATGATCAGCTGACGCATTTTTCTTGGCCGAAGTCAGAGCGCGCGGGCCGACGCACCACCACCGCACCACAAAGTATGAGCAGAAGCCGCGCCCAAAGCCAGGGCCCCGGTAACGTGAGGTAGCCGAGTCGGGGCAGCGTGCGCTGACCCAAGCCGGGGCCGCGGCTTTGGGCGCGGTCTACCGCATCCCCGCGGGCAGCCCCGGGCTATCACATGACACCGGGAGGACGCGCGGCTCCGGCTTGGGTCAGCGCACGCTGCCCCGACTCGGATACCTCACGTTACCGGGGCCCTGGCTTTGGGCGCGGTCTACCGCACCACCTAACAGGCATGTTCGAAACCGCAGGAGATGATGATGAACGGGTTTATCGAAACTTGATTGGATGAGCCTATCGGTAATAGCGATTTCAGTGTGTGCATTTATTGTTCATAGTGGTGTGAAATGTGGTTGGGGTACGACCGACAACCCGTCGGGGCGAATTTCGCACTGGGGTACTCAAAATTTGAAGAATTTAAGACGTTTCCATGAGTTTTCAAGGTATGGATAAGTTCTAAAAATCCGGTTCTCCTTATCTGGGCCATTAACTCCATACGGTCCAGGAAAGCTGGCACACTACCTTTAACGGCGGAGACGTTAAGGCATATTGACGGGCAGGCGAGCACCGCACGGTGAGGGGAGGGGGAGTGGGAAGGGGAGGCAGGGGCGGGAGGGGGGAACGCGCCGCCCGGGCGGCAGTCGACAGAGCACAGCGTGCGCGTAAGCACGCAGCGGATTTTTTTTTACCTCTTCCAGGGCTTCTAGTACTTTTCCTTTTTTCTCTCCACTCGTTAAAGGGGGGGGGCGTTGTGAGCCCACAGGCGGCGGTTTTCTCGAGAGAACTGGTCAGTGGGGGATCGACCTGGCCGCAAACAGGAGGAAAGAAACTTGTATAACCCTCGCCCGCACATGGGGGGGGGGGTTGCCACTCCCCCTTCCCCCAGGTAGTTTTTCTGCTCTGCACTAAACATTCATAAAGCTAGAAGCCTGATTTGTCGTATAGCTTCTTCTCTTTTTCTCGGCGTCCACTGAAAATTTCAAGTTTCTGTGACTTTTGGTTTTGGAGATATGACCTTGATCTTCAGGTCATGTCATGACCCAAATGACCAATACCCAACATCTTACGTCGGCTATGGGTCTTGTGAGCTTTTGACACCTTGATTTCGTTTTTTTTTTTTGCTATTCTTACCTCCTACCTATCACGGAACATGTTTTACAACGATGTACAGATATCAGGGTCAAGGTCAACCTAGGTCATCTAAAATCATTGCATTTTAGGCTAGCTGAATTTACTTTCCGTGAATGTTTTTTTATACTGTATTTTTGGTAATAGCTTCTCAGTTCATGATCCCATGTACCTAATAGGGACACAGAAAACAATCGGTGAGCTCATCAGTATACACAGACACACACAGACATACAAACGCCTATCATTGACCTTGACTTAGCTTGACCTGAAATGACCACAGCCAGTAAAAACCTAGTCGGATAGTGTGACAAAGAGCTGTTCTAGCTGGCTTGGCACCACAAACGGCAACGTCATCGGTATATGATGGGCACAGCACGTCATAGTCCAACGGTGGCCCCAAACAGCAACATTTTTAGTTTGACCTGACCTGGAAGGTCAATGATTGACCTAATGAGGTAAAATTGGGTACCATTGGAAGTATGAGCTTTCAGTCTTGCGGCGTTTGGCAATGGCACAGGAAAAACCTGAAGGGGGCCTTAAAGGCCCCCCCCCCGCCCGGAATAGGGTTAAGGGATCTTCAGAGGCTGTTGTACTTCGCCAGACCGTTTGAAAACTGACTAGGCCGTTAGGCCGTTTGAAAACGGCCTAGTCAAAAACTGACTAGGCTGTTTTTAAACTGTCTAGACCGTCTCAAACTGCCTAGGCCGTTTTCAAACGGCCAGACTGGACCATGGGCCGTTTGCAAACAGACTGGGTCTTGATACGGTCTGTAACATATAGATGAGTAGTTTCACAAAGTTTCGCAAAAATCGGAGGAGGTGAGGGTCAAAATAGTCATTTTTGTCCCATTTGACGTGGTATATCGTCTGTTGAGCACTGACCGTTATCTGCGGTGGCGTGCAGCGGCGGCACAGCGCCGTGGTATATTGTCTGTTGAGCACTGACCGTTATCTGCGGTGGCGTGCAGCGGCGGCACAGCGCCGCCCGAGTGAAGTTCCGGCGGCCCATCCAGCACAGCGCCGTCACTCAGAGCCAGACTGTGGGTCACACTGCTGCTGGGAGGTCAGACTGTGGGTCACACTGCTGCTGGGAGGTCAGACTGTGGGTCACACTGCTGCTGGGAGGTCAGACTCTGGGTCACACTGCTGCTGGGAGGTCAGACTGTGGGTCACACTGCTGCTGGGAGGTCAGACTGTGGGCCACACTGCTGCTGGGAGGTCAGACTGTGGGTCACACTGCTGCTGGGAGGTCAGACTGTGGGTCACACTGCTGCTGAAAGGTCAGACTGTGGGTCACACTGCTGCTGGGAGGTCAGACTCTGGGTCACACTGCTGCTGGGAGGTCAGACTGTGGGTCACACTGCTGCTGGGAGGTCAGACTGTGGGTCACACTGCTGCTGGGAGGTCAGACTGTGGGTCACACTGGTGCTGGGAGGTCAGACTGTGGGTCACACTGGTGCTGGGAGGTCAGACTGTGGGTCACACTGGTGCTGGGAGGTCAGACTGTGGGTCACACTGCTGCTGGGAGGTCAGACTGTGGGTCACACTGCTGCTGGGAGGTCAGACTGTGGGTCACACTGCTGCTGGGAGGTCAGACTGTGGGTCACACTGCTGCTGAAAGGTCAGACTGTGGGTCACACTGCTGCTGGGAGGTCAGACTGTGGGTCACACTGCTGCTGAAAGGTCAGACTGTGGGTCACACTGGTGCTGGGAGGTCAGACTGTGGGTCACACTGCTGCTGAAAGGTCAGGCTGTGGGTCACACTGCTGCTGGGAGGTCAGACTGTGGGTCACATTGCTGCTGGGAGGTCAGACTGTGGGTCACACTGGTGCTGGGAGGTCAGACTGTGGGTCACACTGCTGCTGAAAGGTCAGACTGTGGGTCACACTGCTGCTGAAAGGTCAAACTGTGGGTCACACTGCTGCTGAAAGGTCAGACTGTGGGTCACACTGGTGCTGGGAGGTCAGACTGTGGGTCACACTGCTGCTGGGAGGTCAGACTGTGGGTCACACTGCTGCTGGGAGGTCAGACTGTGGGTCACACTGCTGCTGAAAGGTCAGACTGTGGGTCACACTGGTGCTGTGAGGTCAGACTGTGGGTCACACTGCTGCTGAAAGGTCAGACTGTGGGTCACACTGCTGCTGGGAGGTCAGACTGTGGGTCATACTGCTGCTGGGAGGTCAGACTGTGGGTCACACTGGTGCTGGGAGGTCAGACTGTTGGTCACACTGGTGCTGTGAGGTCAGACTGTGGGTCACACTGCTGCTGAAAGGTCAGACTGTGGGTTACACTGCTGCTGGGAGGTCAGACTGTGGGTCACACTGCTGCTGGGAGGTCAGACTGTGGGTCACACTGCTGCTGGGAGGTCAGACTGTGGGTCACACTGCTGCTGAAAGGTCAGACTGTGGGTCACACTGGTGCTGTGAGGTCAGACTGTGGGTCACACTGCTGCTGAAAGGTCAGACTGTGGGTCACACTGCTGCTGGGAGGTCAGACTGTGGGTCATACTGCTGCTGGGAGGTCAGACTGTGGGTCACACTGGTGCTGGGAGGTCAGACTGTGGGTCACACTGGTGCTGGGAGGTCAGACTGTGGGTCACACTGCTGCTGGGAGGTCAGACTGTGGGTCACACTGCTGCTGAAAGGTCAAACTGTGGGTCACACTGCTGCTGAAAGGTCAGACTGTGGGTCACACTGCTGCTGGGAGGTCAGACTGTGGGTCACACTGCTGCTGGGAGGTCAGACTGTGGGTCACACTGGTGCTGGGAGGTTAAACTGCTCATGGAAATCTGAAATGTGGGTCATTCCATGCCCAATCACCCACCAAGCGTGGAATTGTACGGTCACCAGCACTTGCTAGTTGCTACCCATCACCTCGTTTTCGGTCACTAGGTTTGAAGACCGATCCATTCTCAGTCGCAAAAGATACCATAAATCATCCATTAGGGCGTGCGATTTTCGAATATCTAGATCAATTTAGCATATTCAAAGCATTGTGGAATTCACTTATATAAAAATCAAAATATCTGTACGCATCAAAATTCAAAATGTCACGTATGGATGAACGTAACGCGTCAGTTCCCTTTGGCGGGCTGTTGCTCCGGAATGGTGCGGGCTGCGGGGTTGAAATTTTGGCGCCGAGTCGGGCGCGTGCAACCATTTGTCGTATTAAATCTTGGTGGGGTGCGCTCGGCGGTTTGCACGTGGCGGGCGCATCTTTGCGTGATTTTGTGCCGCGGCCGGCGCCGATCAGAGAGCACGTGCTTTAGGCTCAGTTTCTTCGCTTGCAAAACTGAGCGAAATCAGAGCCGGGAGGTCGTTGACCTTTGGCAATGAATACCGGCGCAGGGCACCACCGGCTACAAGGATTCGCCAAATTTATTCTGGCAATATCTCAGCCGCTACTGGGCCGATTTTAATGAAAATTGATTCGTTACGCTACGCGTAATGCTGTCCCTCTAGTGGGAACCGACTCGGAAGGTCTTACTGAGTCCATTGGTGGGTTTCCTGACTCGCTAGCTCAATTTGATCGGGAGTAATGGACGAAAAACTAATATGACCCTAATGACGTCATAAATGACGTCACGCAAGGTCAACATTGCAAAAGTGACGCATGTAACCTTGCAAGGAGTGCATCAAATCACAATTATGTGTGGTTGAGATACTTGGAGATCGTTCCCGGCGCCAGAATAGCAGTTTCATTTTTCCCCTTTGACTTATAATGGTGAGGTCACGACAATGCATAAAAATGTTGTTTTAAGTTTTTAATCAAACTGTAAACGCAAAATTATACATAAATATCAATGCATGAAGATGAAAAAATTAATGTAAAGTTTCTTTCCAGTGCCCTAAAATCAGTATAGTAATCAAGTTAACAGTAGTAGTAAGCAGGCGCACATTGCTCAACAGTCAACACACATGTTTTAGATATCATGTTAATCTTTACCTATATTTTCAATACCCTGTTTTATCAGGACATTTGTGAGCAAGCAAAACATATTGATGAATACACAATGCATGTTCACATTGTAATTTGGTAACCTTAGTTACTGATTTGATTTTGGGCTAAGGGTCATAAATTGCTTGATCTAACCCATGGTCTCCTAACCAAGATTCTTACAGATAAGGTTGGGACGCGAGTCACGTGATCCTTTTTCTGCTTTTTCCAACCCTACTCACGATTTTCATAAGCCTTGATTTATTTCTTGCACAGAGGCGTTTGTAGTTATTAAATATACAAAAACTAATTCAATGCTATTTGAAATTAACAAACAGATTTTACGCGCAATCTCAAACAAAAATTGAATTTATTCGCGTTTCGTTATATGTTTTCAAATATAACCTTATGTTCAATGATTGCGAAATGCAAAAGGTTCCAAAATTAATTACAAAATGAATATATTTCGGACACTGTCCTTCTTCAGTTCAGAATTGCAAATTAAATCATTTAGTCACAACAGCGCCAGAGTATGTCGATAACAGCTAAGTCAGGAAGTCTCACATTGGTAAATTCTCGCGCAAAATAGACAACCATCTTACAGTTGAAATGTTCACAAGTTACCCTTTCATATAAATATAATACATGTGTCCACAATTTACACATTAATTCATCCCTATCATCTATCAAACACTAGACCACAAGCATCTAGTCGTCTATTCGACCATCGAGGCATGCAATCAGTCAAACATCCAACCATCTATGTACTCACACATCACTCAGCTATAGATAATTTGACAATCAAGTCATCAAAGGCCACCATCTTACATCAAAGAGTTTAAGTACTTTACCATTAAACCATTCATTCAAACCTCGAAACAATACTCAATCGTTCAATCATTCATGTTCATCCGTACATACATTCATTCATTCATTCATTCATTCATTCATTCATTCATTCATTCATTCATTCAATCATTCATTCATTCATACAATCATCCAATTATTCAGTCCTTCATTCATTCATTCATTTTCTCCCACACCATTCATCAATATGGTTGAATATAAAGGTTTTTACCATTCATCACCACTCATCAATATGGTTGAATATAAAGGTTTTTGGAACCTTTTGCATTTCGCAATCATTGAACATAAGGTTATATTTGAAAACATATATATGTCATAATGCTGTTCATACAAGTACTTCGCCATTTACTTGCAAACGCGTTTCGTTAATTTAATCAGCTGGCAGCCATCACCCATCGTCCTCGATGTAGTCGAACTTGGCGCACTCAGATAATGTTCGAAATTTGTGACGCTTACTTGTTGCTATGGCGACCGAGCAGTACCTACGATTTTCATTTATCAACAAGTGCTTGTGGGGCTGCCGCTCACACTTTTGAACACAGTCTTTATGCGTCAGTTTGTTTTACGCGTCATATCTGAAACATGTTTCGTGAGGCTCCAAAACCATTCAATTCATCTCCTTCAAAAGAAGTGCTTTGTAACATTTTCGATATGTTTTTTGGGCTTAATTGCTAGCTCCATTCATCCTATCTTGCGTGAGGATAGTCATCACTTGGGGACCAGTCGTTGAAAGCAAGGAACAACGACGAGAAGAAAGTCTTGTAAAAAGTCGCAGCGATTGCATTGAGCATTAAATGACGAAAATATTTTTACCCCCCACCGCCTCAGGCGATCACGTGCCGTCACCCACCTGCTCCTAACTCACTTTACATTTCCCAGCAGAATCAGCGTTTACCTATCAACATAAATAATTGCAATACCTTGGCTTATGAGCATTGATGGATCTGTCACATATTGCCGTGGCTCCCAATTACACAAAAGTAAAGATACAATGGCGAAAAATAGATACATACCCTACTAGGTATTAAAAACAACCACCTTCACATCACCTCCACCATCACCCAAAAACTATTGTTTTCATAGCTCAACAAACAATTTTTATCCGTTTGGTGTTCTTCGCCTTCTAGTTTTGAGGACCGCTAACAGTTTTGCATTCGATGCTAAATTCGGATTAGAGATTTGCCAGACTGCTCGCAATATTTGCCACATGCAAACCACGCAGAATACGCTTTTATGTCGCAGCTGCGTCA